GTACTGGTTAATTTAACATTGTCCGTATATAACGCTAATGTACTGGTTAATTTATCATTGTCCGTATATAACGCTATTGTACTGGTTAATTTAACATTGTCCGTATATAACGCTAATGTACTGGTTAATTTAACATTGTCCGTATATAACGCTAATGTACTGGTTAATTTAACATTGTCCGTATATAACGCTATTGTACTGGTTAATTTAACATTGTCCGTATATAACGCTAATGTACTGGTTAATTTAACATTGTCCGTATATAACGCTAATGTACTGGTTAATTTAACATTGTCCGTATATAACGCTAATGTACTGGTTAATTTAACATTGTCCGTATATAACGCTAATGTACTAGTTAATTTAACATTGTCTGTATATAACGCTATTCATACTTAAAGGTCTAATTCTATGAAACAAGTATTTTAATGATTTTATCTAAATCTACTGGCCATCAGTGACTCGGCGGTAAGTCAGAAGACTTATAACTATAAAAACCGGGTTTCGATATCCGTGGTGGGCAGAGCACGGATAACCCATTGTGTAGAGTTGTGTTTAACTACAAACAAAGTAACTAAGTAAGTTCCTTACTTAAAAAATACTGAAATGTTTTCGGAATATTGTTTAGTTGAATGCAATTGTATAATACGACGTTTCAGTTTTCAGAAAAACATTGAGCGAGACTTCAAAGGTTGTGTGAAAGAATGTTAATTTTGTTACCCGTTTGAAGCAGAAGTTTGTGGATTTATTATATCAAAGTCTGATTTAGAATGACAGGAGTTTATTAAAATTAAATATTGTTATAGCGAACTCTTTAACAGGTGAATAAACGAGTTAATCATCATGTTTGAAAAACGTTCGAATTTTTCCTTCAAGTTTAATGTTTGCAGTTTTGTTTAACTTCTCTAATTATCTTACTCGAGATCTGCTTTAACTAATCTTGAGATAAATACGCAGCGCAGAGACCATTCTCAACACTAGTAAGATAACTGGAAATATCTTTATACTGTGAGAGCAAAATATCAGTATTTATTGACTTTCTCGTTCGTTTTCTAACTGGCAAAGATGACTTTACACATTTTTCATTTTCATTCAAAATTGAGAATTATTTTTATTTTAAATAATTTTCTTGAACTTAAACTGAAAGGACAAAACTGAACTATTAATTTTGAAATAATTGAATTTTATTGATTAAGTGAAAAAGAAATGAACTTCATATAACTACACAATTTTAATACTTAATGTTAACATTCATTTTTTACTTGAACTTTTTTGTCGATTTATTAACTGCAATTGGAAGACTGAGAAACGGAACTGCATAACAGTAAAAATATGTATTTCTGTTTCAACCTTTTTAAAGAATTGATGGTTAAAATCCCCTAGTATACGTATAGAATTACTGTATAATACAACTAATACCACTAAAAAAATGAACACATGGATGAATATGATACGTTATTAGTAAAACGATATTTTTTGTATATTACCTAACAATATGTTGCATGAGAACTGGGTTAATTCAGTTGACTGATTGCATATTTTTATATTATGACATCAATAACACAAGAATTCGAAGTGGTTTATTAAAATCTTGAGAACACAGACATCGTGTACACAGTAGTCCTTGGTATTAATTTCATTTCTGAATTTATATAAAGTTTCACTAATGAAAAGAAGTCTTTTAGAGTTTATAATAGTTTGTGATTCTATCATTTCTGAAATATTTAATCAGCAATTGTTTTCAAATTAGTTTTAAAAGCATTAATAAATAAGCACCGCCTGGCATTTGATTGACAGATGTGGTTTAGTAATTATATAAAGTTTTTTGCATTTTTACTTTTTTGGTTGAATTCAATCTTCGATTATTTTCTAAATTTGAGTACTTTTCGTTTAACTTCAAAGTTATTATTGCTTTTGTGCTACACAGAAGAAAACTAATTTTCTTCCTAATATATATGTATATGTATTCGTTGTTAGAATGTAGATCACATGATCTACTGTTAAGAACCTCCAAACGCACCGGCTTAAGATGTAAAAAATGGTAACAAAACGTCTGAGCTGCCAATAGACGGATCACACACCCGGTATTCCTATTAATTCAGTTTTCTCTTAAATAAAGAGTATCTTATAAACAATAAATGCAGATTGTTAAATTAAAAAACTTGATTTATACCGATTTTACTTCATAAACGTAAAAAGAAATAATCATTATGCAAAGAAAGTCAAATATTAGAAAAATAATTTATACATAATCACTAGAATTACCAACTGTTCCAGATCAGGAGAATTTAATAAATCAAAATTCTCCTGAGCGAGAACAGTAGGTAATGTTTTATTAAGTTCTCCTGAGCGAGAACAGTAGGTAATGTTTTATCAAGTTCTCCTGAGCTAGAACAGTAGGCAATGTTTTATCAAGTTCTCCTGAGCTAGAACAGTAGGTAAAATAAAACATTACCTACTGTTCTAGCTCAGGAGAACTTGATAAAATATTACTTACTGTTCTCGCTCAGGAGAATTTAATAAAACATTACCTACTGTTCTCGCTCAGGAGAACTTAATAAATCATTACCTACTGTTCTAGCTCAGGAGAACTTGATAAAACATTACCTACTGTTCTCGCTCAGGAGAATTTAATAGAACATTACCTATTGTTCTCGCTCAGGAGAACTTAATAAAACATTACCTACTGTTCTCGCTCAGGAGAACTTGATAAAACATTACCTATTGATCTAGCTCAGGAGAACTTGATAAAACATTACCTACTGTTCTCGCTCTGGAGAACTTAATAAAACATTACCCACTGTTCTCGCTCAGGAGAACTTGATAAAACATTACCTACTGTTCTAGCTCAGGAGAACTTGATAAAACATTACCTACTGTTCTCGCTCAGGATAATTTGATAAAACATTACCTACTGTTCTCGCTCAGGAGAACTTGATAAAACATTACCTACTGTTCTAGCTCAGGAGAACTTGATAAAACGTTACCTTCTGTTATAGCTCAGGAGAACTTGATAAAACATTACCTACTGTTCTAGCTCAGGAGAACTTGATAAAACGTTACCTTCTGTTATAGCTCAGGATAACTTGATGAAACATTACCTATTGTTCTAGCTCAGGATAACTTGATAAAACATTACCTATTGTTCTAGCTCAGGAGAACTTGATAAAACATTACCCACTGTTCTAGCTCAGGAGAACTTGATAAAACATTACCTACTGTTCTCGCTCAGGAGAATTCAATAAAACATTACCTACTGTTCTCGCTCAGGAGAACTT